GTCAAACATCTTTGAGAGGCTGACTGTCATGCTGCTAGCACAACTGTAAAAGGAATTCAACCACAAAGAATGGTGAGCAACTGGGCTTGCATTGACTGAAGGTCTAACTATTGCGCAAAGTGTGGCCAATTGCCCATCTTCAGTTAGAAACTGTCATATTGATTTTCTCACCATATCAGTGAGTAAGCAATTATAACAACGTTCATTTTTGGAGGCCATTATAAAATTTACCAACCAAAACCAAAAGATATCACAACAAAAGAATTACCGTCATGCCACTTGTTGAGGCAGTCGAGCATAAGAAATAAACCAAACAAGCCAACAGTATGCACTACAGTTTCCCATAACCGAACCCAGCATTTACCAAAAGAAATATCAGAGGTGCAAAGAAGTGGTAAGCAATTCTCGACCATAAATTGCATGAAATTTAGAACCATTGAGAAGATGGCGTCCTATGCATGATTTCATTCCAGAAATTTGCTTAAGGTTTATGTGCAGCCAAGACACATACATAAGTAAACAATGACATTTACTTTAATTTTCTTTCCTTTTATAAGTATTTGGGATGAAATAAATGAGGTTCTCATTGAAAAGAACGGGGCACTATAACACTACAAGAATCAATTAAAATACATTAGGGGAATAGAGAAATTTTTTAAAAATAATAACACTGTAAATCCCTGCTTGGAAATCCCTAAACCAGCCAATCTATCCACCACAGACTTTGCATGCTCAAGAATATGATAGACATCCATTTGTTGGTTACGTGAACATGCAAATTTTACAATTCAATCTACAAGAAGGGAAAGTATCCATCAAGTCAGTCCTTCAGTTCCTTTAGATTTGAATTTTATGCATAATACGGCCCAGGTCAATATGAAGTAGGTGTAACATAGAAGACCATATTGGAATAGCAACATAGGAATACTGATAGAGGTCCATTACACATCCATGGAGACCTACATGTTAGCAGAGATCGTAGACATTCCTAGCTCTTTCCATAAGACGTGCCTTTTCAAAGAACACGCCCTGTCAGAGTGAGTCAATGAGGAAAGATATTTCTCGTACTCATACATTCACAATGTTACGGATCTCGTAAATAGGATGTCTAAAACAAACCACACAAAGGGTATGGTACTTATAAACACATGAAAACTTACCATTTTGTTGAGTTCTTCACGACTTGGCATAAAGATGGATTGAAATAATACGTAGATTAAAAATTTCACCCTGTGCCACACACTCATTCTTGTCCATGTCCTCCGCAGTGTAATCTATTTTAGTTACCAACTAAAAAAGTTAGATGACAACAAAACTTTGAAGCACGATTTTATAAAGCTAACAATAACAACTACACTAAATAGAGTATCTACAT